GCTCTCCTAATAGCACAGAGGTTGCCTTTAATCTCCCCTTAGTCTTTGCTTTTATGATGAGGACAGATGTAGTTTTCATTAACTGTAGGAGGAAAAAGGCGAATCACCAGGTACTTCCCTTCCAGAAAAAAACTTCTCTTTCAGAAACGATAAAATAAAATAAAAATAAAAAACACCCCCTCCAAACCTGTGGCCCTGACCGTTTTGCTCTAAATCTGGCTTCCACCTGCCGTGGGGTTCTTTTCCCTGCCCCGTCTCTGCTTCCGCTTTTTCCAGATGTCGTGTTTTCTCGCTGATCTTCTTGTCCTTGTTTTCCTTCTTCCGATCTCGGTCCTAGGGCACAGACTGCCCCATCTCTCAAGGTTACTGGAGAGTGGCTGCTCCACACACTGCCGTGCTTCCCTTTTAGCAAGGGTTTTATTTGCTGAAGAAGGCTCCGCCTCCGCCGCCTCGGTTCCTCTCCATCCTCAGTCGCGTCTCCTCCCTCCTCTTCAATTTAAATATTAGCACATAGCCCCCAGAGATCACTGAAAAATGGACCAAATTATTTCTCTTTGTAATCGTCTCTCACTTGCTCCATCTTTCGCCTTGAAACCAAGTGGAAGTAAAATCCTTCCACGTCAACTGTTCCCGGAGAGCTCATTAGCTAGTATAACGTTACAGCATTTGTGAGCTTTATAAATAAGGGAACAGTTGTGCAGACGCTTTTAAGGCCATCAGAAATAAACCGGCCAATGTTTTAAAATATTTAGGTCTTGATCATAGGAGGATGCAGGAGAGAAGCTCGCAGGGACATCACCTTCCAAGTTTCTTGAAAGTAGGAGGAATCTGCGAGTGGGGGAGGGGAAGGGAAAGAATCAAGAATAATCAAAGAGAAGTTCATTTAGTGTCATCGCGAAGATGAAGAGTACAGAGGAAACAAAATCCAGGTGGGAGCCTGGCTGTTCACAGCTCTTATTTAGGGCTGCTGCTCCCACAACTTCTAATAGTTTTGCGTCGGTAAATTACTTGAAAAACAATAACTTCCGGGGGAATTATCAGCACCTCAATGATCATCAAACAGATTTGATGATAGTAAGAGATAACTAACTTATTATTTTCCCAGATTGATACTATGCTACTGCTTCCCTCAGGAAATGCTGCCTCAGCGATGTCTACCTATGATTGTAACGTGCATGACGCAACAGCATGACGCAATATAGCAGACAACACGATCTGCTGTAAGTTCAATAAAATGGACGTATTTTATTTCATTTTTTAGTAAGACTCAAATTTTTATAGAGACATCATAAGTTATTTTAAATATTATTTCATATATTATGTAAGTTCCTTAAACTGACCACTAACTACAGAAATTTTGCCTCACTTTCTGAAAAATGTTTCAAAAGATTTGGGGTTTGAAGGAAAAGAACTACTTAATTCCTTAAATAAGGGTGGTTGAGCTATTGTAGCAATAGCTTTTCCAAATGGGGTAAAAGTCCCATCAGCAATCTTTTTTTCAGCCTGGGCCTTGATCACTCAGCAAGTATTAAGAGGTTTCAAAGGTTGAAAGTTCAGCCCCTCTCCTTCTTCTGCTAGTTCAAGATACAGCAAATTGAAAGCCTCAGCAGAAAAAACGTTGGGGGTAGAGTATAAAGGAGTTTCAACAAAAAGAACAGACAAAACAGGGAATATATAGCCCAAAACTCCACAGGAGGAGATGAGTCATGGGAAATGAAAAATTTTTGAATCACTTCTGGCCTTTACTGACAACTTTATTCAGCATTGAGGGAAACATTTGATAGATTCATTTTTTAAACATTTTGAAGACTTTGGCTCACATTTCACCATTAAGGTATAATAAAACAAACAATCTTTCAGTTTCTCAAATGTGAGTTCCTTCGGTAATGTTTTGTAGTTCTGATTTAAATGATGCAGACTCAATGGGAGATAAAACATGAACAGGATGACTTTGACATCTCTTGATAAAACCAGTGCAAACTGACAATAATATGGTAAGATTTACTCCTATTAATTTATGAACTAAAAAGCAAAGGAGAGATATGGGATCAAAAATATTCTTGCGATACAGTGGTATTAAGTGCACACAATTGGAAAGAAAGGGTGGTTGAAGATTAAAATTTCTGTTTCTTTAGCACTTGGAAGTTACAAATGGCTTATGATTGTTAGTGGTGCAATGTAAAAGCTAGGAAAGGAATCTTCCTTCAAAGGAACTATCATTCGTATTAAGTGCTTCTCGTTAGGTTGGGATCTTTTTGTGATATAAATACTAAGTGTGTCAAAATTCCACCGGACTAACGTCGAACACAGGAGAGAAAGAGAAGTCTTGGTGTAATAGTACATGTTGAGAAAAATCTGCAAAAGATCATTAATTGAAGTTCATTAAATTATGAGCACCTTTTAATGAATTCCTTTTTATTCATAATTCTCTTCTTCAGTTGCCTTTCTTTTCTGTTTTTATTCTACTCTCTATATTTAAATAGTGCTTTATGGTCTACAGTTTCTTTTTTTTTTCTTTTTTGAGACAGAGCCTCAAGCTATCCCCCTGGGTAGAGTGCCGTGGCATTACAGCTCACAGCAACCTCCAACTCCTGGGCTCAAGCGAGTCTCCCGCCTCAGCCTCCCAAGTAGCTGGGACACAGGCACCCACCACAACGCCTGGCTATTTTTTGGTTGCAGCCGTCATTGTTGTTTGGCGGGTCCGGGCTGGGGATTCAAACCCGCCACCTTAGGTGTGCGTGGCTGGCGCCTTAGCCGGTTGAGCTATAGGCGCCGAGCCATGGTCTACAGTTTCATGAACAATATCTTAATCTTTTTTTCCTCCTCATTAAGTATGTTAGGTAGACAAGGTAGTTATTTCAAAAATTTTAAAGATTAGGAAGCTGAAGCTCAAAGAATTGTTTTACCTGAGATAAAAAAGACTTAAATCTAGTCAAAGGCCAGTGGAAGATAATGACTTTTATCTGGATGCTGTAGCTACTGGTCAAAGCCTTGACTTCTTTTGCCAGAAGGAAACAGAGGACTTTGGAGCATGACCTTACCTCTGTGTTTTTAAGTTGGTGTCATAACACTGACTTTTAAGAGACCCACCTACATACCAACATTTATCTGTTCAGTGCACACACATAGCACTTAATCTGGGCCCCTCGACATTTGTCACTCCCTCACACAGTTCCCAGCGTGACCACATTCCAGGTGCTTAGTACAACTCTGTTTCCAATATCCGAGCAATTGTTTAGATGTTTTGCATGCTTGAGATAGGAAGAAATTGATCCCTTGAATTAGGAAAATGGTGAGTGAAAGGGTTACTCACCTATCCAATCTTACAAATAGGGATTTAGTAAGAGCAAGGCTGTGTGTGGCTGACACCTACTGGAAAAATAGGGATATGGCATGGCTTGTAATAAAACCAAAAATAGTTATGTTCCAATATTCCCCTTTTCCAAACAGGTAAGAAGCACCTGTTCACACAAAGTAATAGAGCACAGAGTTCATCTGCTCCATTCCTGATATTTTTCTGGGTCCAATAGGTAACACCTTATTCTTGTTCTTTGCAAAAGAGCTGTGAAGTCTAAAATCACTAACCAAGGACCCAAATCTCTCCTCAGAATCAGCTCACGGCTCCCACTCCACTCTTCTTATCATATCTACATGCCCAAGGTCAGAAGGAAACCCTGCTTTAAATTAAAGCCAGTTTTCTTCCTGGATCCCAGGGACCACTTCCTACAGTCAATTAGGGGTTTCCTGAGCCAATAGTTCTAGAAACCTTTGTTTCATTTAAAAATGGAAAGCAGATGAAAATTAATGAGAAAAGAAATAAAAAACAGAAGGCCAAAACAGTTCAGAAAGAAAGAAAGAAAGGATGATGAAACGAGGAGGCTCAGTCAGTTAACAAGCCCTTTTTAATGTATGCTCTGCTTGTCTCTGGGACATATTTATAGGTTCAAAGGAAGTTGTATCTTCTAGGGTTTATGTGATCCTGAGAACTTGGATGGAGCAGACTCTGCTTTGGTATGATGGTTAATTAATTCATGCTCTTCTGGAGATAATGACGAATCCCTACTCTGACACTAGAGACAAAAATTCCAGCAGATTACTCGCCTGTCTGCTGCACTTGGTCAGATTCCATCAAGCCAGTCCAGTACTAGTGGGAAAGAGAGAAAGGTGCACTCCCCGTGGCAGCCTGTACCTCTTTGACTTCTTTTGTGGGCCTAATCTGTTAAGGGGTCTTCACATTCTCCTTTTATTCTAAGGAATTGTGCAATTCCAGTTTTGAGTACTTTAATATGGAAACTTCCACTTCCTAACCAGTCTTCATTATGTTTGCCAAAGATGAGGGATCATGTCTTTCAAGATGTAGAAGACAAGTTCTCTGAGGGCAGAGACCAGCTTTGTTTACTGCTGTAACTGCAGTACCTAAAATGGTGCCTGGCACTCAATAAATATGATTGCATGAATGAATGTTGACGGACATTAATACACAATAATAAATAAATAAAGTAATTACCGATGTATGGGTTGATGTACCAACTAATTGTAGTAAGATATAGCCCTTAGTATCTGGACAGGGGCTAGAACATAGAAAGAGAAGAAAAACACAGTCAAAGTTTTGACTTGGAAGATGCTTTCATGTACTGCACAAATCTCAA